TGTTGTGGATTAATTGACAATATAATTGTGACTTTATTTCTGAGCTTTCTATTCTGTTCCATGATCTGTGGCTATTATTGTGCCAGTACTGTTTTGATTATTATGGCTTTGTAACATATCTTGAAATCTAGGATTGTGATACTTCCAGCTTTGTTCTTCTTTCTCAAGACTGCTTTGGCTATTCAGGTGTTTTGTGGCTCCATACATATTTTTGTATTATTTGTTCTAGTTCTGTGAAAAATGTTATTAGTCTTTTGATAGGGATTACATTAAATCTATAGATTGCTTTGGATAGTGTGGACCTTTTAACAATATTAATTCTTCCAACCCATGAACATGGAATATCTTTACATTTGTTTGTGTCATCTTCAATTTCTTTCATCTATGTTTTATAGTTTTCAAAGTATAGATCTTTTACTTCCTTGGTTAACTTTATTCCTAGATATTTTATTCTTTTTGGTGCAATTGTAAATGGAATTGCTTTCTTAATTTCTCTTTCTGCTACTTTGTTATTAGTGTATAGAAATGCTACCAATTTCTGGGTATTAATTTTTTATCATGCAACTTTACTGAATTCATTTATTACTACTAATAGTTTTTTGGTGGAATCGTTAAGGTTTTTCTATGTATAATATCAATGTCATCTGCAAATAATGACAGTTTTACTTCTTCCTTACCAATTTGGATGCCTTTGTTTCTTTTCTTTCTGACTGATGTGACTATGACTTCCAGTACTGGGTTAAATAAAGTGGCGAGAGTGGACATCCTGGTCTTGTTCCTGATCTTAGGGGAAACGCTCTCAGTTTTTCACAATTGAGTATGACTTTAGCTGTGGGTTTGTCATATATGGCCTTTATTATGATGAAGTGTGTTCCCTCTAACCCCATTTTGTTGAGAGTTTTTAAGAACAGACATTGTATTTTGTCAAATGGTTTTTCTGCATCTATTGAGATGATCATATGATTTTTATTCTTAATTTCATTAATGGGGTATATCATGTTGATTGGTTTATGGATATTGAACCATCCTTGTGTCCTCAGAATAAATCCCACTTGATTGTGGTGAATGATCCTTTTAATATATTGTTGAATTCACTTAGCTGATGTTTTGTTGAGGGTTAGTGCATCTATATTCATCAAGGATATTGGCCTGTATGCAAGCAAGTTATGCTTTGGTACAGAAGTCTGGACCTTGAAGTAACTCTCGCATCTCTCTCTCTCTCTCTCTCTCTCTCTCTCTAGAAATGAAAATCCTATGAAAGCCATTTCCAATGTCATTGATTTGTTTATTTAACAGAACTGATTTAATGCCTAGGTTGTGTGTGTGTGGCACTCTTCTAGGTTCTTGGTCCCTGGGATTAAGAAATGAGATAGGATTTGAGGAGCTGGCCAATAAATATTTGCCTTACTAAGCCAAAACATTATTATATTCGCACGATCTTTGTGTAGTTTGTCTACTTGCTCATAATTCAAAATGATCAGGAGAAACCATGTGACCATGGTCACCATGTGACCCTGGGAAAGGCTGTAATTCTTATTTGCCTTTAATTCCACCTCATACCAGTTTTTGAGATGGCGAAAGACAAATAGTGTCTTGTTTTCAACTTCTCATACAGGTAATGTTGAGCAGCCAAAATCCCTTAAAATTGATTCCCAAACTGCAACAAACTTTTTGACCTTAAAAGATCTAGAACCAATCAGAAATAAACTATAATCAAGTAAAAAAGAGAAAGAGGATGTTAAAAATCCAGACCTAAAAATTCTATTTAAAAACCTATCATCTTGGGGTACCTGGGTGGCTCAGTTGGTTAAATATTCAGCTCTTAATTTCGGCTCAGGTCATTTAATCAGGGTCATGAGATTGAGCCCCATGCTGGGCTCTGCAGTAAGTGTGGAGCCTGCTTAAAATTCTCTCTCTCTTTCTCTGTAAAATAAATAAAATGAAAAAAAATTTAAATAAAGTCCTATTAGTTTTTTAAGTAAAGAATTCAGGGAGCACCTGAGTGGCTCAGTCAGTTGAGCATCTGACTTTGGCTTGTGTCACAATCTCACAGTTTGTGAGTTCGAGCCCCATCTAGGGCTGTGTGCTGACAGCTCAGAACCTGGAGCCTGCTTCGGATTCTGTGTCTCCATCTCTTTCTGCCCCTCCCCTGCTTGCTCGCTCTCTCTCTCTCTCTCTCTCTCTCTCTCAAAAATAAATAAACATTAAAAAATTTAAAAAAAAGAATTCAGAGACTTGGGATAGAATTTTTAAATGAAATTTTAAATCTGAAACTAGAATTTTATGTAGTTTGGATTATGACATAAAAATTATATTATTTGGTTTAGCAGGTGCATACTGAGTCCTTACTTCAAGCAGTATTAGCGAGACATAGCTCTACATTGAGAAATAAGTCTTGTACAAAATAACTACAATATTACACAGAAAATATTTGTTCTAATAGAGGATTTAATAATGCCACTTAAAACAGATAAATAAGAGAGTTATTCCTGTTAGGAGGGATTATAAAAGATTTCAGAAAGGAAATGTTATCTGATTCAAAGCCAATGAACGGGAAAAAATGTAGGGACATAACAAAACCAACCCAAGTATGTTACAGGCTGCCTTTAGAGACCAGCCAGTGATCCTACCTGACTGGAGTACTGGAGAAAAGTAAATAAATGCAGATGATTTGTAGTAGATTGGGGAGATCCCCAAATGTTATCACAGGAGCTGTGAGTTTATTTTGAAGCCCACTGAAAACCATGGGGGGGTTTTGAAACAAAGCATAATAACTAAAACTGTCTTAGAGAGATTAGTCTGACACCCATGTATAAAATAGATTTTAAAATATCAGAGATAGAAGACCAACATAGAGGCTTTTGTTTTATTTTATATTTTAAGTTTATTTACTTATTTTGAAAGAAAGAGACAGCAGGGGAAAGGGAGAAAGAGAGGGAGATGGAGAGAATCCCAAGCAGGCTCCATTCTGTCAATACAGAGCCCAACATGGGGCTCAAACTCATGAACTGTGAGATCATGACCTGAGCTGAAGTCAAGAGTCAGTCCCTTAACCACTAAGCCATGAAGGCACCCCTTGATGCTATTGTTACATTAGGCCACATGGGCCTAAACTATGATAACAGAATCAGAGTAGATGGCAGTTCCATAAACATGAAACAGGAAATAGAATCCAGGGAATGGATGCAAGAGACAGTGGTGAGGGGTAACTAGAACTCGAGAATGCCTGTCAGCAGTGAAAGAGGGAGTACAAGATGTTTTGAAGTTTGATGTCTATGTGCCAGGGAAGCTGACAATGTTCTTAAAAAGAGAAAGATAAGGTTTAGGGAAAGAAGAAAAATAATGCTTAATTTATTTAATAAATATTTATTGAGCACTTATTATGTGCCAGACACTGTTTCTGGGGAGATGAGAATTATGTTTGATTTTTAAAACATTTTATGTAGAAAAGGCACAGTTCCCAGTCTGAGTAACCCAAAAGGCAGAGCTGGAGCCAGTGAGTAGGCGCCAGGTAGGAAGTAAAAAATCTAATAAGTGGAGGCTTCCTGATAAGTAGTAAGAGCTCTGTTCCAGGCAGTATTCAAGCATAAATTGGATGATAATCTTCCGGGCACTCTGTGACAAGGGATTTCTGCCTTAAGAGAAGTTATACTAACCCTTCCACAAGTTCTCTCCCAGTCTTAAGTAAGAACATATATTCTTTCCTATGATCTGGTCCTGTGGGTTCTATTATTAATCTCTGGTTTCTTGTAATTATTAAATAAATTACTCAATCTGTCTGCCATTCAGTAAAACTCACACATTCGCATCTGTTATTCTTGAATTATTTTTGGTTAGGGCTCTTCTTCTTTATTAAAAATCTCTACCCAGTAATGTTACCTTTATAGCTAATTTAGAATGCTAACCCTGGTAGACTGGGTTATAAATATCAGAGGGGAAAGGGATTTCTTGTGCCTAATAATATTTTTGTTTGGAATAAGCCCTGCAAATGAGAAATGAATTATCTTGACTTCAAGATTGCGATGCAGTTTCTGTATTTTGCAGTAATTCAGAAAGGAAAAAAAAAATATCTCACAGAGGTTCATTTTGATACAGCATGTTAAAGAAAGAGAATAATTATTCTCAAAACCCTGTAAAGCTTTACATCAGAAGCATTTATCTGTGTTGCATTTAGAAAAGAAGAAAGGAAAGAGAAGAAAAGGAGAGGAAGAAAGAAACCTGTAGTGAGCTCCGCTATAAGCTATAGTTAAAGCTTTACATTTCCTGGTGTCTTTTGAAACGTAAAATTCCACAACAAATAGCCCTGTAACGTATAACCAGTATGAAGATTCAATTGAGATTTAAGCACTTTGGTTTGCTTTTGAATCTTGCTATTTTCTGCATTTGTTTTGACTGCTCTCATCATTCAGGATTGACGCTTGGATGGGTGTGTAGGAGGAAGCAGCAGCAGCAGGCTTACAGCTTGCAGACAAAAAAAAATCTGCCTTATCTGATGGCTATTATTGAAAATGCGAGGTGTAGCCTGGGCTGGGTAATGAAGGGGAGCGAGCGAGGGGGAGCAGGGAGCATGGAGCTGCATACTGATGAGTGTAGGAGTACTTGATAAAAAGAATTCTGGCTGCTGGCCGTGCATTGCTCATTGTGGAGTACTCCAACAATCACATAGAACGCAGACCAGCCTAAGCTGACAGCTTGATATGCCTTCTTCTGCTGCCTGGTTTTGGGGGCTGTATGACGTACTGGTCGGTAGTAAAGATTAATATGTAAGAAATGTGGAGCTAGGATCAAGTCATACTCCACAGCCTGCCTGGCAAACTATGTTTTACTTCTGACTTTGCTCTCTCGCTGAGAACATTAATCTGTCAAGCTGGCGGGCTCCTTTGATAGCAACTTTCCCAGGAGCATGATGTGGCAATGCCACCTCTCAGCCCAGGACTACCGCTATTACCCAGTGGACGGCTACTCCCTGCTTAAACGCTTCCCTCTTCATCCTCTTACAGGACCCAGATGCCCCGTCCAAACAGTGGGACAATGGTTGGAAAGCATTGGGCTACCTCAGTACGAGAACCACCTGATGGCTAATGGATTTGACAATGTACAGTTTATGGTAAGACGCTCTCTGTGTCCATGGAGCTGCCTTTTGTCTGTCTTTGCTTCTTATGTGTCTTACACGGCTCAGAGGCAGCCTGATTTGCACCAAAACCGGTCAATTTATATATGTAACTGCATCAGAAAATTGGATGCCCTTAGGACTGAACTTACTGTGTACATATAGACACTTGCTGAAAAATGAGATCTACGGGCATCCATATACATATGTATTATATGAATGAACCGGTGAGAGTACTATTTATAGGCAGTGAAAGAAGATTAACATTTATATTCTCCCTGTCATTCTTTGTGTGCTTTTTATAAATTTGTAATCTCAGAATACCCAGTTAGATTATAGTACTCTTCGGTCAATTCTAGATTCCTAAAACATATTTTTTTTCATTTGAGCATCAGCATTTAATGATTAATTTGACAATCTGTTATGTTTATGGTGTGAAGATTTTTTTTTTTCTGATAATTGTTCGATAAGCAGTTTAAATTGTGTGGATGACCTTTAATTTGTTAGCAAACTGCTTCAGATGGTCAATTATGGAGAACATTCACTTACTTACATATGCTGATTGAAGAGCACTGAAGTGTTTTTTATTACTTTAGGTAAAAAACAAACACTTCCGTCAATTACCTGTCTATTTAGAAAGAGAGGCTGATGGACCAAATACATTCATATACTTCTAAATACTAGTCTGCATGCAGTCTAAACCCGGTGTGTGCAAACTTCTCACTGTGATGAATATAGGCGAGGAAGGAGGGTGGGGAGATGTGCAGACCCATAATACAGCTTTCTAATCATTCATATATCTCCCCCAGTGCTCATCAGTTTCCCTTGTTAAGCTACGTCACAGTCCTTATTACCTTTCCTTGCTTTTAAGTTCCCATCACATATATTACTGATCCCTAAATTTAGAGACAGCCACATAATATAAGCATATAGCACACAAATGGCTTGAAAAAATAATTAATAGCTATTTCTAAATAAAATGCTGGGGCTGACATCTGAAGCTTATTCATAGGAGAACTGGTTACAGAATATGACAGCTAGTTATGTTTTTTTTTTAATTTCCATTTGAGATGACTTTTCTCTGAGCTTAACTTGACTATTATAGATTTAAAAATTGGTCAAATTGTTAAACTTCTGCCTCTTTTCCAAAAAAAGTGTATCCTCCGTGAGCTTTTTTAAAAAGCTACATAAATGTAAGAAGATGTATGAGCTCGAAGTAATTGTATACACAGAACTCTTTATGAACCTGTTTTTTATAATAGGATATGCAGCTACTGTTATTTTTCTCATGTTAAAGAGAACTGTCACTGATTAGACAGACAAGATATTGTGGGTATTGAAACAGGAAAAAAAGTGAAATGTCTTCAGTTGCTATGACAGTCTTAGGACACTGAGAAGATTTAGGACAGGCTTAGGACACTAAACAGAGAATACTAAGCATTTGGGGAACTATCAAACAGGATGGAGATCTTTTCATCGTTATTTATATTTACTGTACATTTTGATGTCTTTATTCTTTCTCTCTGACTCTACCTGTGATAAGACTTTCTCATTCCCATTCTTCATACTCTTGTCCAAATTTATTCTGATCCCATGAGAAGTTAGGTCTTTGGATTCTGGCTACTTCCAAATATTTTAATTCAGCATAATTTTCCTCTGAATGTTAAACACATTTGAGCAAATATAACCCCTTTTTGAAAGCCTAAAACTGAAAGGTTAATTAAACAAGTTTCAAATAAGCATTTGGAGGTCTTAAAACAACGTTCAGGAATGAATTATGTATAAGCATTCCAAAGTGTATCTGGGAGGCAAAAATCCTGGGTATATGTGACAAAACCAAGGTTTGAGCTTCTCCATAGATTATTGTCTTTATTTTTTCAATTCTAAGTTTTATATATAATTTTCCAGAAAATTAGAAAACAGTTAATGCAAATAAGTCAAATACTTTTTTCATGAGACAATTAATTAAAAAAATAAAAACTTTGATCATTTAGAGGAGTTAATTATGAAAATTGAGCAAATCATAAAATGGTGTCATCAATTGTTGCTTTATCTGCTGCTATACACTATTTACTACTAGTGTCATAAAAAATCAGTTTCTACATTTACAAAATGTATTGATTGATTTCCATAATCAAACTTATTTAATTATGAATTTAGTTAAGTATACCAATATAATCAGCCCACTTTAAGAAACAGATTTCATTAATGGGGTGAAAAATTTGTTAGACCTGTTTAGTCTCCACTCAGTATCATATTCTAGCTTTTATTTTTCTTGAAGCACATTCTGACCTGCATTTATTCATCCTGTTGCCTAAGCAACAAGCACCACACTCCCATTAACTGTGATGTAGTGCAGGTCTTATTAGCTTTTTAGAACAAGACAGTAGAGACATCAAAAGGGTATAATTAATGTTGCTTGAAACTTCATTGTACATCCGCGCATAGTTATACTTTATTTAGGAAACATTCTCAAGAGTTATTTTTTTTATTTAATCAATATTCCATTATTGAATGTTTTCTATATAAGTGACTTCCAAAGTATTTATTGAAAGCTTAAATATTTTTTACCAACTCTGTTCTACATACTCTCACACGTAAATACAATATATGGACAATTTATCCACATGGCTATGATTAAGTGTAATAAAGATTTCTTATATCAATTCCTAGACATAGTTAGAAAAAGCAGGACTCCCATTTATTTTTGTATCTCTATCAATTATTGCTTCTCCTTTGGGCCCTTAATGCTTATCCATGATTTTATTGATGCATGAATTTTTTTTCAGTGCCTAAAATCAAAATACCAAACTTTTTCTTTATGTACCTGGTCCTGCTTTGCTGCCATTTGTGCACGTAGTTTTGACTTTCTTGTATCCTTAAATATATAAAATAAATTGAAATTGATCCAATTAAATAACTACAAAACTACAAAGTCCCTAAGACTTTGGGAGAGTCAGATCTATGTTGCACTCAAAAGCCCCTTTAACACAGAATTTTTCATCTGAAGACTTATCCAAGCCCCACTTACCTGCTCATCCCCTCTGAAGTCATACGTCATCAGCTCCCCCCTTGTAAGACACATGCTGTTCACTAGCCTCTGGGAATGCTGCCGGGGCCCTAAAATATATGTGTCTCAACGTTACTTTTTATTTTAAACCAAGGAGTTTTGATATGAAGTGTTTAATGTACAAAATGTATATGCTTATTTACTTCCTTATTGTGCAAGTTTCTATCATCCTCTCCTTTTTCCAAGTCTGATGACTGCTTGCTAAATTTTAAGACTCAAACTATCTATTCTTATCTTGATGACTGCTCATTTGTACTCTCCTCCCCCCATCCTCTACAGCTATTTCCTCTCCTTTCCCTCTTTCTTTTATCCTCAAAGGTCCAACTCAATCCCTGCCTTGTTTATGTAGCTTTCCTTAATGACGCTAGTCCTTTGGAGCCTCTCATTTCTCTGAACTCATGTAGTGGTTGTATTCGGTATGAAAAATTACATTTGGCATGCCATTATTCACTCTCTAGAATTATAAGTTTTCACTTGTATATATCTTCTCTCTCCCACTAGACTAGAAACTCTTCAAGTCCATGTTCTGTGTGTTCAATTGCCTTGCCTTTATCACAAGTCCTACCATAATGCTGTGTATATAGACATCATCCCATGACAACTAGATACATAGCAGACTGTTGTAGATGGATCACCAGCCTCTTGTTTAAACTGGAAGCCTTGTTTTACCAATGGAACATGAAGTTTTAGCCCCATTCATTCATTCATTCATGCAACAAACTCTTAAACATCTTGTATGTGCTAGGAACAGTGTTAATTCCTGGGAATGTAACCATGAACAATACATGCTTCTTGACCTCTATTAGGTTACAATATTGCTCTCAGACCTACATATCATTTGCATGCACGTTAGACACTCATTCCGTCATGTGCTCACACACACACATACACTCTATCACAGGGATCTTGCCCTCATTCTTTGATATAGTCACCATCCTTCAGCACATTACTTACTAACAATTGCTTTTCCAGCAATAAATTACAGTAGGCAATGGAAGAAATAAAATTTCTCATAGCAGGGGGTAAAGAAAGATAAAGATACTGATAACAACAAAACACTGACAGTGTTATGGTAGATTTATGGTCCAAAAACTGAATCAAGAAGTTTATATTATTGGAGGAGGACTGACTCATATCCTCACCAGGATAACTAGCTAGTAGTTATATTTGTAAACTCTAATCAAAAAAAGGGAAAAAATGAAATTATGCCAACTCATTTTTTTTTTAACACTTCCTATGTTTCTAGCAGTTGCCATCCAGGTTGGCTTAGGATGCTTTGACCATTATTAAAATGTCCAAAATGCAGCCCTTACAGAGTAAAAAATAAAAATAATTCCAGAAGCCCTATGTGGTTTGGCATTTTTGTACACTTGGGTGAGTAGCATTCATAAAGGACTTCCTGAAGGTCAGCATGAGTAGTGCCTATTAGAAACTGAAGTAAAGCCACAGAGCTCTTGGAAGTCATCCATTTGGACAAAAGATTTAAGAAAGAGTCATCTTATAAGTATGTAGTTGAAATTTCCTTTTCCATTTTGTGGTGCATTTTATATGCTAATGCGCTTACTTCTCTTTTCCTCTTTTACATAACTTTTCTGTAGTAAGAGCACCATTTGCAGTTGACCTGACAAAATGACCTTTTATGTGTCTTAGCAGCATTATGATCCAAGAAAGAAGTTAAACTTGTGAAGCAGAAAAATAAATTGTCCCTAAAGGCCAAGACTAATAACCCCCAGGATGATTTCTTGTTTCAAATATTTCTTAAGAAAATTTTATAAAGTTACTGATATTTCAAGGTCCAAGAGAAAAATACCTGCCACACTCTCCACTTCATCCTGTTTCTGCAACAGTCTAGGCTATGAAGTGGGTGGCTTTATGGTGAATGTGCAGCTATAATTTTACAAACTCAGTCCAGTAGTTACACATCCAC